GTGCCCCCCCCCCCCCCCCGAGTCACACAGGGCCACAAGCTCGGGAGGGTTCACTTTGCCCTAGGCCCTGAAAATCGTGTGGTAAGTATGATGACCTTGTTGTCTTCTGCCTGGCCTGCAGGGGGTCATTGTCAGTGATAATGAGTGTCTATACCTACTCCCTAAGCCCTTGTCGCAAGGCACCATTTATCTGATGAATCTCACTGGATAAAGGTTAAAGGGCAGAGAGTGGGGGAAACAACAATATTACAGGTTGTAAAGGTACAAGACACCCAAAACTGATGAGTTGTGGCCTATTGGAGTTTCCCTGAGGCAGAACTCAGAAGGTCATGGGAAGACAGGACCACGACAAGGGAGTGAGTCTTTCTATGTGTGAGTCCCTGATTTTCGAGCCAAGAAGAAGGAAATTGGACTCTGACTCACTCTGTTCTTTTTTAGCCCCTTGGGACAGGTCAGGCTCAGCACACTCAAGCAGAGAGATGGAGGACTCTTGACCTCGGAGCGCAGTGCTACTTGGGTACAATGGTCCGCCCTGCAGTCTGCTCTGGGGACGCGGCTGACCACACTACTTTGCAGGTTTCTAAGCCCATGCTTGGAGAACCCTTCTTATAGGAGTTTTTCACTGTGCTCTGGTGCAGGAACAGCCACCAACCAAACTCCAACTGTGCTGCTGTGACCAAAGGACCTTGGTCCCAAGGTATTTTCTGAAGGGCTCACAAATAAAGTGAGAGAGCTCCTGGGACTATGCTAGTGCTGGGTGTGAGATCCACCTGGCCCCAGCCCCAGTCCTTGATGGAGGCTGAGTTCATCCTTGTGGCTGTCTCTCAAAGTCGACTCACTGGCCTGGCAGCACGGGACGCAGCCTGAAAGGTGTGTTTCCCCTTGACAGTACTGCAGGTGCCAGGAGGTCCTTTTGGGGATAGTGACTCATCTTCTGATCTGAGCCTGGAAGGGAGGAGGTACAGGGCAGGGCAGCCACCTTCTGACCTTGGAGGCCGTTGGATGCAACCACGTGTTGCATCAAGTAGCTGTTTTATGACCAGTTGTGTGTTTCTTCCACCCAGGCTCAGGGCAGAGTCAAGCAGGTGTATGGGAGCTGAGTATGTCCCCGGAAACTATTGTACAGTCCTTTCCCTGAGAAACTGGCTGTGAGCCCTGGGTCATTCTAGAGGTTACTAAGTCATTTCTGTTCTGGATGGTGCTTAAGAGCACAGAGCTTAATCCTCCTTTGATTCTGAACGGGAGGGGTTAGATACTATTGCCCCACCTTATATAGGAGGGCAGCTTGCAGTGTGGTCCGGGCTTAGCCGTGAAGCTCCTGGATGCAGATCTGAAACGGACACTTTTTGTAATTATTCTCTGAAGTCTCCTGGCAAACATAAGGCCACAGACACAAAAAGACTATTCATTTCTAAAAATAAGTTTGATTTTTGCCCCTCGTCCTTATAAAGAACAACACATGGATTTTTGAGTCAGGCCAAGGTCAACCCACCTTCCCAACCCAATGGGAGGACGCATACAACTTTGCTCAGCGTGGAGTGGCCTCAAAATCTCTTCTCTTCTTCTTTCTTCATGCAGTACTGTCAAGCTGCGGACATTTCCTATCATTTCACATTCCCAAGTGGGGCCACATCCTGGAGACAGCGTTTGTTTTGATGGCTGGTGACAGTGTTCCAGAGGCTGGTTCTGCAGGGCACCACGGCTTGCTCGTCAGCCCCAGGCCTCCTCTCCACCCCCTTGGTCAAGGGCCAGAGAAGCCTGGGTTAACTCAGACACCCAGGCAGAGAAGGCCTTTCTGATTGGGTGCCTCAGCTTTGTCATAGATACTGCCGCTGCCCAAAGAGCACCTTGTCTTCCATCCTGATGGCTGTAGACACATGCTTGCTGCAAAAGTAGTTCCCTGAGGTCAAGGCCATCCTTCTAGAACATGCTGTCTTCAGCCGGGCACCTAATATATATATAGCTGACACGTGAACCTGCCCTGCGGCCTTTCAAAGGGTGCTTCTTTATTTACCTAATATAATTCACTTCCCTTTCTGAAGTCAGGCCACCAGCACCTATCCGACAGCACCCAGCACATCCCAGACTTCAGCTCTGGGAGGTAGTTGAGACAAGGAGCTTGCATTCTGCTGAGGGAACATGTTGAAAAACTCAGGAAATAGGAAGTGCTTAAAAATGGAGACAGCTCCATTGGTAAAGCACTTGCTGGGAAAGCATGAGGGCCTGAGTTCAATTCCCAGAACCTGAGTTTAAAAAAAAATAATAATAACAATAATACTAGATATGGTGTCATACTTGTAATCTCAGTGCTGGACAGAGACAGGCAGAGTCCAGGGCTTGTTGGCTGGCCACCCTGGTCTACTTGGGGAGTTCCAGTCCAGTGAGAGACCCTGTCTCAAAAAACAAGGTGAGCGCACCTGGCCTCCACATGCACCTGCACACACACACACACACACACACACACACACACACGGGGAGAGCATGGATACACTAGGCAATGCACCCCCCCACACACACACATGAGAAAGAGAGAGGGGGGAGGCTCAAGAGAGAGACTCAGATACACTGAGCAATCCTAGAGACTGGTCTGGGACCATTCTCTTAGTTACCCTATGAGCTTGAACTGAATGATGAGACCACAGCCACCACCAGGTGTTCTAGGAGACTTCTCATGCAAAGGTAAGAGTGTGTCCAGGTCTTGGTCCGTGAGCATGTCTGGCATGTTTGATAAAGTGAAGGACACTTGTGGGGAGGTCTCAGGAGACTTGTCAGACCTCCAGGCTAAAAGGAAGGCTGCTGTCACCTCCCTCAGCCTCCTCCACACTTTCCCAGAGGGTTTTCCATCCCCGTCTCACATCAGCCGTGTAATGATTGACCTTCACCATTGGCTGTTACAAGTTTCAGGGGCATGATTGGGGGACCCAGTAGCTGATGTGGAAGAGGCAGTCCTGGCAGTCCACTGGTGGCTAGTCTGAATGCCATGGAGGGAAGGACTGTTGGCAGTGGATAAACGGTTCTGCTTTGAGAGGTATGGGGAAAGAGCAGGCATGGTTGTGCAGCAGAGGGGATGGAACAATGCCAGGAGCACCACAGGCTCCCAGGATGCCTGGCTGGAAGCCCTCTCTCTAGCAGCCTTTCCAACACCTGAACTGAAGCCTTGGCTGGAAGGGTCTGAAGACCTGCTATTCACTTTTGGATCTGCCAAGCTGTTGTGAGGCTTGGGAGAGCTCCCTCACCAAGCCCCCACATCTGCTCAGGGGTGGTGATGGTGCTAAGGTCAAGGGTGGCAGTGCATACACGACACAGCAGGGAAGGGGCGAAGGCCAGCAGAGTGGGAAGCCAGTGTTCCTGGTGCCCCCGCGTCCTTGAAGGCAGCACCCACACTTTTTACTTCTCTAAGTTCCCTCAGCTAACATTTGCTGGACAAATAGATCATTTCTGAGGCACACATCAGATTTCTCAGAGAAACCCAGGGTTTGAAGAAGTCTACATTTTTGTTTGATTTTGGCTCCAGGTGCTGACTGCTGGGATCTTATCTATGTTCTCACCACAGATCATTGCTTATCAGTAGCTGCACAGCTGGGGAGACTGGAGATGCAGTGAAGATTCAAGCATCCATCACCTTCAGAATTACAGCATCTCAGGGGAAGTGATGCATGGTGTGTGTGTGTGTGTGTGTGTGTGTGTGTGTGTGTGTGTGCATCTGTGCATTTCCTCCTTTCAGACAGTGACGCTTTGGCTGAGGAGGCTGGTGTCAAGGTACCCAAAGAGGTAGCCAGGCTTTTCCATAATCTGGGGCTGCAGGCTAGACCAGGAGGGCCAGCCGCTCAGCTAGCCCAGCACAGTGTGGGCTCTATACGCATTTCAGCCATAGAGGAGCAAAGTAGAAGGCCCCTTTATAGAGCTGGGTTACCAGCCATGTCTTCCAGCCACTCTCTGTTCAAGTTGACTTATTTGTCCTCCTAGAACTTTCTTTTCCAGTTAGAGATGTGCAAGGAATCAGGGTGCAGGAGCTCAGCTTGTCAGAGGGGCTGCCCACACCTGCTGAGTCACTCATAATGGCCCCCCAAATGTCATTTTCTTGCTAAGACATTAGGAAAATTGTCTGCTACTGAATCACAAGCAGACACTATAATTCAACAATCTTCTCTGAATTATTCAAGGAACTTCACTGCATCTGATGTGGAAGATCAGGGACGGATGGAATCAATGAGTGTGCTGAGTACTGTTTTTCTCCTAATTAAATTTCATTTGCCAAGCAGAAGGTAGGGGGGCTCGATCCGACCCCTGGGACAGCTCCCAGGGGGAAGTCTGGAGGTGGCCGATTGGGGACTTCTGGGTGACACTGGTTTTCTTATCTTTTTGGTTCCATTCCCATAATAGACCCCAGAGTCATCCAGGAAAGGGCTTGCTACCATCATCTTCTTGTGGCCTGCTGATTGTGACAGCCCTTCTGTGAGAGAAGGGCTTGAAGGGAAGGGCCTATACTGGTCTGGTTAGTAATCTCAGTGTCTCTGCAGGCGTGTCCTCTGTGTGCAGGGCAACCCACTGTGCATGTCAAGAGAAGCCCCTGTTCCTGCCCTCTGCCCCTCTGGACCAACGCTGGCGAGGCTTTGCACTTGAACTAGCTTGCCCTTGCCACAGCCCTTCCCAGGAGCCGGAAAATGACTTTTTCATTCATCACAGACCTATCATCACTTGCCACAGTTCAGGGCTAAGGAGTCGCCTTCAGTTTGGCAAGAGAGCAGGCCTGAGGGTGACAACTGTGCTCTCCAGGGACATTGCTCACCTCCTGGAAAGGGCACTATTATTGGTCTGAAGGAGAGATGCTGTGTATTCACCCCCTACTGGCATATAACAAACTGTCAATCAAAAGAAAGTTATCTCCTTGGGGGAACAGGTACCTTCATCAATTAAGGTCAAAAGATTTGAGATAGGACAGCCTGCTTTTCAGAAGCGCTGTGTTCCCTATCCTCAGGAGCCGGAACATAACTCAGACAGCACTCCGTGCCCCCAGCGTATCAGGGCCTGCCAGGAAGCCGTGTCCACAGGTGATGTCTGTTCAGATAGGTACATCCTGTCTTCCATGTAGCCTTGACACACCTTTGAGGTGTTGGGCTCAACTGAGTTGCACTCAGTTCTCCCGATAGACTTGTGACTTGGAGACTGCTAATCCTGTTTGGCAGTTGAAGAAATTTTCAGCTAGTGAGAAGATGGACTCTGCCCAGGGGCAGCCCTGAGGGCAGCCTGGCATCTGCCTCCACCCCAAACTCCCTGCAGCCCAGCACCTGAAGCTGAGCACCAGGCCCAGACTGAAAACCACTGCTGGTGTTACAGAATCAAAGCAAATGGCTTCTCTTTCCTCCCTCTTTCTGCCCATTAACAGAGAAGCCTTTTCAAGGACCCGTCTGGAGTCTACACTTCCCCTCCCTAAGCAAACCAAGACGGCCAAGAATGTGCTCCAGAGGGGACCCTAGCACACTGGGTCCTGCTCAGGCGGTGTACAGAAATGACCACAAGGAGATCAAAGAGGTCCTCAGAGCCAGCCCTGAGGTCCACAGCAAGGCGGCCCGCGGCCACACGAGTCCCTTTCAGGGCCTCTGCTTAGAGGCCAGGGCCACCACGGACATGGCTCCTCGTAATAGTGCATCGTGGCTGTTCCTTCTCCTCCAAGCTGAGTCCAACGGCCAAGTTTCTCGGAACACTTCCTACTTTCAGCTTAGACCACCCCTTAGGGAGTAGAGGAAAATGTTCTTGGGTACTGTGTCCGTGCCGTACCATCAGAGGGCTGTGCTCCTGAATAAACATGTTATCAGCTTTAAGAAACCCTGCCGTTCTGAGCATTACTGCCCAAACTCACCCAGCTGTCAGCCAGCACTCAGCAAACATTGCTGAGAGAGGCACTTTGGGGACCCAAAGGTGACACGAAACTAGCAGCCCCTGACTGGCCAGGAGATAAGACGTGTGTCTGTCTGAGTAATTAGCAAACAGGGCACACTTCAGTGCTCTCATTCTGGTTACATGAGGGGTCTGGAGGGCAAGGGCACTGCCTCTGAGCTGTGCAGGTCCCAAAGGAGGGGCCCCATGGGAATGAAGGAAGAGGGAGGCGAGGGTGTGTGCTGCTTCCGATGTTCCCTTTGTGTGTATTTTATTAGGTAACTTAAATTATGTCTTCATTTATTTATCTGGAGGAGATACGACGCAACACGCATGTTGAAGTTAGAGGACAGCTTGAGGGAATCAGTTCTCTCCTTCTACCATGTAGGACCTGGGGATTGAACTCAGGTCATCAAGTTTGGTGGTAAGCACCTTTACTGAACCTTCATTATTTTTGAGACAGGGTCATACTATGTAGCCCAGGCTGGCTTCAAACTTGTGGCAATCCTCCTGCCTCAGCTTCTCCAGATGCTGAGGTGACAGGTGTGTGCCAACAGACTGGATGTGTAAACTTTTTTCTTTGTGTGTGCGTGTGCGTGAGGTATGTGTGTATATGCCTTTCTGCATGTATGTGTGCACATGTGTGTGCATGCACATGGAGGCCCGTGTTGGATATCAGTAACTGTCCTCGCTCTTCCACCTTGTTCCTTGACACAGGGTCTCTTAATCAAACCCAGAGTGCATGAACACAGCTAATCTTGCTTTCTGGCTGGCTTTGGGTATCCCCTCGCCACCTTCTTCCAAGGCTGAAATTACAAGTGGAATTCTACACCCACCTGGCATTTTCCATGAGCTGTGGGGATCCTAAAATAGTCTTCCTGCTTTCACAGGGGACAAAGGGCTAGGAGGAGAGTTTGAATCCAGGCTGAGAAAGCCCTGAATGTGGAGCTTGCTGGCCATCTCTCTCTCTCTCTCTCTCTCTCTCTCTCTCTCTCTCTCTCCTCTCCCCCCCATTCTCATTTAGTCTAGGCTGGCTTTGAGCTCACTGTGTAGCCAAGGATGATCTGTGGTCTTGAACTTTTGATTCTCCTGACTCCCATGTTTCAGACATGCACCACAACACCCAGGCTATGCAATGCAGGAGATCCAACGCAGGATTTCGTGCATGGCAGGTAAGAACTCCAGCAAATCTATACCCCAGCCCCACATTTTTCTCTCTTAACAGTGATTTCTCTCTTTTTCTTCAAACATAGATCCATCAGGTAGCAACTACCAGCCTATGAACTCTTTTCTAAAAACTTTTTAAAATTTACCTTATTTTTACTTTATGTATATGAGTGTTTTGCCTGCATGTATCTAAGTGCACCCATGTTGTGCAATGCCCAGGGAGGCTATAGAAGGCTTTGGATCCCCTAGAATTGGGATTATGGACAGTTATTAGCTACTATGTGGGTGTTAGGACTCTAACCAAGGTCCTCTGCAGGAACAGCCAGTGCTCTTAATTGCTGAACCATCTCTCACACAATTTCTTTCTTTAAAAAATATCTATTTAATTTTTAATTATATGTGTGTGTTGGGGGTGCATACGTGAGTTTGGGTCCCCAGGGAGGTCAGAGATGTTGGATCTCCCTGGAGCTGGAGTTATCAAACTCCAGTCCTCCGATAGACCAATACATACTCTCAACTGCTGAGCCATCTCTCCAGCCCCTAAAATAGTGATCTCTTGAGCTCTTGAGAAGCCCAAGTCACCTTCCAAGCCAGCTTGGGTCAAGTGTAATAAGAAACTTTTCTTTTATGATCATTTTACTGTTACAAGTACTAGTTAGTTTTTCATTTATTCATTTAGTGTGTTTGTGTATGTGTGCGTACCTGTGTGTGAACACATGCCCCATAGGGCATGTGTGGGGGTTAGAGACCAACTTCAGAGAGTCAGTTCTCTCTACCATGTGGGTTCCAGGAATTGAACTCAGGTCTTCAAGCTTGGGAGCAGAGTGCCTTTACCTGCTGAGCCATCTCACCAGCCCAGTACTAGTTATTTTCACTGTTAACATTAGATTTGTAGTTTAGAAAGGAAAAACTATCCAGTCTCAGCACTGCCAGGGGCTTCCAAATTGCTCTGCAGGCAACATGGCTGAAAACAGCGGTCAGGAGGTGGCCATAGGATGGCTTGGACAGGGAAAGACCTCTGTGCGTGGCATCCTGGGAGCTGCTGCCTAGCCACAACCCAGGGACAGCAGAACCGGTACCAGGACCCAGGGGTGTTGCGCCCAGGCCTGTGAGGAGGCCCAGCTTTGGGTTCCACACAGAAGGGCCTTTGGTTGGACACCCATATCTAGGAAATGACTGGGCAGAGCTCTGTCAGGAGAGGAAAAGCACCCCTCCCGCCGGAGGCTAACTGCTAAAAGCAGGGGGAGACTGGGGCGGGGCCGCAGCTCACAAGCCCTGGGCCAATTGGGAGAGTAGCTGGTCCCCCCACTGCAGTGTAAGAAGCTGCTCTGGCCTCACACTGCTGATCCCAACGCTCCAAGACTCAGAGTTCTGAGACCTCACCCTCGGGTTCAAGGCAAGGATGCGGGAAATTGTGCACATTCAGATTGGCCAATGTGGCAACCAGATCGGCACCAAGGTAGGGAAAGCCAGAGCAGCTTGCCACCGCTGCACCTGCAGCCAAACTAGCTGATGCCCAGGTTCCCGGGAAGAGGATGGGCCTTGCGGCTTGCAGACACTTGCTAAATATCTGCCCTGTTAAGCAAGGTCTTTTACAGAAATGATTAGTGTTAGAGGGTTAATTCATGCTCATTTTGTCTGTAACTATATGCATGTGCACACTACTTCTGGGAACCATTTTGCTTTTAGCACCTTAGAAATGAACTTTTCACATCTAAAAACAGTAATTTGTCTCAAGAGTTTTCTAAAGTTTGTTGGATTTAAAGTATTTTTTCAATTTTATTATGTGTGTGTGTGTGTGTGTGTGTGTGTGTGTGTGTATACATGTATCACAGTGTGCATGTAGAGGTCAGAGCACAGCTGTCAGAGTTAGGTCTATCCTTCTACTGTGGGCCCTGTGGATTGAGCCCAGGTCATTAGGTTTATACAGCAAGCGCCTTTATCTGCTGAGCCAGCTTGCTGGCCCATTTCTTGGATTTCTTAGAGCCAGGCTACAAAGCAGGACTTAAATATTTTTGTTTCTTAAATTTGACTTATTTATCTGGGTGAGGTATGCCATGGTGCACTTGTGGAGGTCAGAGGACAACTTGCTGGAGTCAGTTTTACTTTCTACCACATAGGATGGAATGGTTGTTAAGCTTGGTGGCAAGCGCCCTTACCCTGCTGAGCCCTTGCTGGTCTTGTTGGAAATTTTTTTTTTTTTTTTTTGGTCTTTTTGAAACAGGGTCTCCCTTGCAGCCCCAGCTGTCCTGGAACTCACTATGTAGACCAGGCTGGCCTCGAACTCACAGAGATCCGCTTGCCTCTGCCTCCTGAGTGCTGGGATCAAAGGCGTGCGCCACCACGCCCGGCTGGAAATTTTTTTTACATACTGTCCTCTACCTCCTGTGTTTATGTTTTTCCTTATCTTTATGTTTTGACAATTTCATCCGTGTGTACATTGATCAGCTCTACCCCACTTGATCCTCCCCCCTCCCTCCACCGACTAGCACAGACTTTTCCCACATTTGTGTCCTCTCTTGTTTTATTGTGCATTGTTTTTATAACCCACTGAGTCTAATTAGTACTGCCTGCTGGAATGCTGATCGGTCTTGCTGACCTGGTAGTATGCAGGTCTTATGCAGGTAACCACAGATGCCCTGAATTCATGAACGTGTTGGCCACATGTCCAGAGAGCATTTCACACACTCTGCCCCATCCTCCGGCTCTTACATTCTTTCTGTCCCCTCTTCCTTGATGTTCCCTGAACCTTGGGGGGGAGCGGTTTGGAGTATCCACACTTTCGTTACAAAGGAAAGAAAATGGAAAGTTAAAGACGCAAACCCAATACAAAGTCTTTACCGACAGAGACAGAAATAATGAAAACACACCTGCTGCTGTATAAGTGAACTTTGCCCTCTGCCCAACCTCCTACTGAAAGTCTTTCCACCATCAAACAACAGGAATAGAGGTGCTGAGGGCCAGGACCTCAATCCTAATTTTAAGATGAACAAAGGGGTTGTAACACACCTATGGAGGTAGCTGTCCATGATAGTTTACAATTGGATTTACTTGTATGAATTATGGGTTTCAAAACACCTCCATTAAAGACCTATGTTTCTTTGGGGCGGGATCACTAGCAATAGTCCAAAGGTGGAAATGGGCTGGCAAGGTGGTTTGGTGGGCAAAGATGCTTGCTGCCAAGCCTGATGACCCGAGTTTGATCCCCAGGACCCATATGGTGAAGAGAGAAACGACCTCTACAAGATGTGCTCTGACCTCTATTTCTCATGACACATGTGTGCCCTCTACCCACAGAATAAATAAATCAATAAATGTAAAAAATATTTTAAAGGTAGAATAACCCAGATATCTACAGGTAGATTAATCTGATGTATGAGTAGATAAGCTCAATGTGTTCTAACCATAGAATGGCATATTATACAGCTTTAAAAAGGAGAAGGGGCTGGAGAGATGACTCAGCAGTTAAGAGCACTAGCTGCTCTTGCAGAGGACCTGGGTTCAGTTCTCAGCACTCACATGGTGGCTGACAACCATCCATAACTCCAGTTCCAGGGGATCCAACACCCTCTTCTGACCCCTTCATCACTGTCCAACATGGGTGCACTTGCATGTGGGCAAAACACTCATAAACATTTTTATCTGGAATTCAGCAGTACGGTCTACTGATGATGCTGTGTAACCCATCTCCAAAAGGTTTTTCAGCTTATAAAACTGAAACTCTGCCCTCTGTAAGCATTAACTCTTCTCTGTCTTTCCCCCTCTTCTGCTCCCTGACAGCTTCTATCCCACTTCATGGCTTTATGAACTTGAACCCTTCTGGGGCCCCATGTTGTAGCAAGGGTCAGTCTGAGCTGAGTGACATCCCACTGTGAGCATGAATCACGTGGTATTTAATCCACTCATCCATGGATGGAAAGGGGGCTGTCCCTGCTGTGGGGACTGTCACTGTAGGAGGACGAAGTTCTTTTTATTTATCTACTTTTAAAGTATCACACACTCACATATAGAGTATCTAATATGCTGAACGCCTCTCCCCACCCTATTTCCCTCTATCTCTTGCCTCTCTTTCCCCCCTTAGTCTCCTTTCTTGTCCTAGACAGCTTCACATACATGATTTTATGTGACTGTATAAAAGCTAGAAACCACAAATGACAGAAAACATCGTATTTGTCTTCTGAGCCTGGCCTAATTCACTTAATTTGATGGTCTCCAGCTGCATCCATTTTCCTGCAAAGGACATAACGTCATTCTGCTTCATGGCTGAAAAAATTTCACCGTCCTGCATTTCCCTTATCTGCCCCACTGCTCTTAGATACGTAGGTTGGTTTCATAACTTGCCTGTTTTGAACAGTGCTGGGGTAAACACTGATGAGCAGTTGTCTCCGTGATTCATGGATGTGGAGCTCTGTGGTGTGATGTGTATGCTCACGAGTGATGTCGTTGGGCTATCTTTAAATGAAGGTCTTCTAGCCCTGGCGCAAAGAATATCACTGCCTGAGAAACAGTGGCCATCCTTACATACCACAGGGATCAGACCTTCATAACCAACAGAGAAGTGGGTGAAGGAGCCCCTGCTCTGACCTTGGATGATAACATGGAAAGAGGCCCTGGCGAGGAAGCACAAGGCCAGGCCGAGGTAGGGGATCAGCTCTTTCTCCACTCTGGGGACAGTGCTATGTGCTGGCTAGGGTCCCCAAAGTGACTTCTTCGGCCTTTAAGACACATTCCAGACTTGCAAGCCACACAAGCACAAGGCCTGAATTTTAGATCCTTGACACCCACATTAAAAAAAAAAAAAATACAGGTTTGTTGTCACAGTCTGCAGCCCAGGGCTGGGGAGGCGGAGACAGGCAGATCCTTGGGGCTTGGGGCCAGCCAGCTAACCAAATTGATGTGCTTCTTTGAGCAGCCCTGTCTCAAAGAAGAAGGTGAAGAACGACAGGAAATCACCGGACCTGACCTCTGGCCTCCACATGCATGCCCACACACGTGCCTAGCACTTATGGGCACATGTGCACACAAACATGAACACATGTATACAAATACAACACACATCCACAGATGGAGAATGCTAAGACACATATCTGTAGTGCCTCAGACCTTCAGTGTTTGAACAGTTCGTTATAACTCAGCTTTCTTTCGAAGACCAAGCTGGGGCACAGACAAGATGGGGTTGGGAAAACGCCCTTAGGGGTTTTGACATCCAAGAATATATTTTCATTATACTTCAATATGAACTTTGCCAGATGATCAAGAGATCATCCTAGGAACTGCCTGTATATTAAGAGCTTGAGTGGGGCTGTGTTAATAAAAACTGTGGGCAAGCAGGATGGCTCAGTGGGGGTAAAGGTGTTTGCCGCCAGGCCCGATGACTGACGTTTGATCCCCACACATTGAAAGAAGAGGTGTTCTCTGAGCTCCACGTACACGCTGTGGATGTGGCATGCATGTGCACCCCCCACATGAATCAATCAATCAATAAATGTAATTTTAGAAATTCTACATGTATGACTGGAAGTAATATGTTCTAAACAGTTACAAGATAGCAAGCATGCAAAATTATGAACTATGTGTGTGTGTGTGATCATCAAAATGTACATTATTTAAAATCGTGCAGAGAGACCGTGGTTATGAGCTTTTTGGGAGAAAACTGGTGAAGAGATCCCCCAAAGTGAAATAAGATATTATTGTGAAATCAGATAAGAATTCAGCTTGCTTTCCTTTAACAGGAACTATACTTTACTAGCTCAGAGCACAGCAAGGTGAAATTAGAGATGGCTTGTCTGATGTGAGGTTCTGAAAGGACAGCTGTATCGTGTACGATGTGCTGAAGTTAATAGAAGCAAAATCCAATTTAATATTTTATGTGCTTGACATTTCGCTTTGGGAGTTCAGGTGGAGCTAAGACGCAGTCTTTATATTCACACTCAGTGAAGGCAAAAAGTGACTCAAGCTCTGGTTGTTTATGAAAAGGAACAAGAAGAATGTGGTGGGAGGGCCAGGCACCCTCGGGCACAGCGAGAGCGTCAACTCCCTTCCGGTACCATCCTGCCCTTTTCTACTTAAAAAACCGTATTACATTTATTTATGCAATACATTTATTCGTGTGTGTGTGTGTGCGTGTGTGTGCGTGCGTGTGTGTGTGTGTGTGTGTGTGTCTAAGTCCACCATGTGTGTACCAGGGATTGAACTCAGGTCATCAGAGTTGGTGTCAGACTCCTTTACCCTTTTGACCTCCTTATTTCTGTTTGCAGTTCTGGGAGGTGATTGGGGAAGAACACGGGATTGACTGTGCTGGGAGCGACTGTGGGGCTTCTTCCCTGCAACTGGAGAGAATCAGCGTGTATTACAACGAAGCCTATGGTAGGGCTGGCCACTGCGTTAGCACGAAGTGGGGGTGGGGCTAGCATCTGGGAAGCTGGGCAGAGAAGGTGACCCGAGTGTCCTGTCCAAAAGCAATGTTCCAACCTGGAGCTGGCAGGCCGGCAGGGCCACAGAACCCGGAGAGATGGGGCCCCACTCCTGTGCAAGGAGCAGGGTGGGAGGTAATCACCCAGGCCACAGGCAATCACCCAGGCCCCAACCATCCTCTTGTTTCCAAATGCTAGGCAGAACCGTTCCTGTGGGAAAGCATGGAATCTATGTTCTTGGTGGTGCAATGAACCAAGCAGTGATGGGGAAAGTGGGGCTTTAAAGGTATTTTTACAGATTTATGTCATGGTGGTGGGGGTTAAGGATATGATGAAAGCTAACCAAAAGTCTACTTACCAAAAACCTCTTCCTAGAATATCCAGGTTTTTGCAGACCAGTATAACAAGGCTCCATTTAGATGAAACATTAACTTTTAGAAAAACAGTAATTTGCTGACTTCTTCCTATTTATCTACACAGGTAAGAAGTTTGTGCCCCGAGCTGTCCTGGTGGACCTGGAACCCGGGACAATGGACAGCATCCGATCCAGCAGATTAGGAGCTCTCTTTCAGCCTGACAGTTTTGTCCATGGTAGGTTTTTTTCCAGAAGCTTCCATCAGGAAGAGCTGAGGACGCCGCCTAGTGGCGCCCTTTCCACCTCACCTTTCCTCTTTCCCCCACTTCTGGCCTCAGGTAACTCTGGTGCTGGTAACAACTGGGCCAAGGGCCACTACACGGAGGGAGCCGAGCTGATCGAGAACGTCATGGATGTGGTGAGGAGGGAGAGCGAGAGCTGTGATTGCCTGCAGGGCTTCCAGACTGTGCACTCCCTGGGTGGGGGCACCGGCTCGGGTATGGGCACCCTGCTCATGAACAAGATCAGAGAGGAGTACCCGGACCGGATCCTGAACTCCTTCAGCGTCATGCCGTCCCCCAAGGTGTCGGACACGGTGGTCGAACCCTACAACGCAGTGCTGTCCATCCACCAGCTCATTGAGAACACAGACGCTTGCTTCTGCATCGACAACGAGGCCCTCTACGACATCTGCTTCCGCACCCTGAAGCTGACAACCCCCACCTACGGTGACCTCAACCACCTGGTGTCCTTGACCATGAGTGGCATCACCACCTCACTGCGATTCCCGGGCCAGCTCAACGCAGACCTGCGCAAGCTGGCGGTGAACATGGTGCCCTTCCCGCGACTCCACTTCTTCATGCCTGGCTTTGCCCCCCTCACGGCCCACGGCAGCCAGCAGTACCGGGCCCTCTCGGTGGCTGAGCTCACCCAGCAGATGTTTGATGCCCACAACATCATGGCTGCCTGTGACCCTCGCCGTGGGCGCTACCTGACTGTGGCCTGCATCTTCCGGGGTAAGATGTCCACCAAGGAAGTGGATCAACAGCTGCTGTCTGTGCAGACGAGAAACAGCAGCTGTTTTGTGGACTGGATTCCCAACAACGTCAAGGTGGCGGTGTGTGACATCCCACCCCGGGGGCTAAACATGGCGGCTACCTTCCTAGGTAACAACACGGCCATCCAGGAGCTGTTCACCAGGGTCTCTGAGCACTTCTCGGCCATGTTCAGAAGGAGAGCTTTTGTGCATTGGTACACCAGCGAGGGGATGGACATAAGTGAATTTGGGGAGGCTGAGAGCGACATCCATGATCTGGTGTCTGAGTACCAGCAGTTTCAAGATGTTAAAGCAGAGTTGGAGGAGAGTGAAGAGGGAGGGGAGGAGGAGGAAGTAATGGAGGCAGAAGACTGACAGTATTAGCTAGGGAGAAGCCAGGCCAGTCACTTCCAGAAGCTTCTACAAGGACCTGGCTGTCCTACAGGCCCTGGAGCCTGCCTTCACCTCCACACCGCCAGGGAAAGGGATTGTGGGAGGGGTGGGGATAGCTGGGGAACTGGGTCTGTGCTGCTCACAGTTGCTATCCAATGTTCAGTGCACACTCTCTTAACTTCTAGTTTTTAATAGCAAGTGAATTTACTATAAGGAGCCCTCTTTATTCCACTAACTACCTGCAGAACTCCATAACTCCGTACCAGCCTGAGGGTTTGCTGGGAGCCACCCCCCCACCCCCGCAGCTTTCCGCAACAGTTCTGGGTACCTGGTGCTGCTAAGATGCTCCCCTGAGTCTCCTTCGCAAGCCCAGAAAAGCCAGGTGCCTAAGGAGAGATGGGAGGTTCAGGGCCAAGCAAGTGTGATCAGCCTCCATCAGCACACTGTGCAGGCCTTGTGTCCTAACACAATAGCTTCAAAGAGACAAGGGTGATAAAAACCAGAAGGCCACCTTCCTTCCAGGTGACTGGCTTCCAGTACAGAGCTGCTTATTTTAAGCTTATTAGTACTAGATTCATGAGGCTCATTAATGATCGTACTTGGTTTCCTTTTAAAGGCAATTTGTGGATGCCCTTTTCATTATACCCGGTAGTCACCTCCAAATCCGCTCGCAGCCCCTCCATCCTCTGGGAAAGGGCACGAGGCTTGCTCAGCAACCACTCAAACGTGGAGACGAAGCTGACACAGCAGTGTCCTCGGCAAACGGGACATGGGCTTATTAGGAAACTTTTACAATTCACATTAATTCTTGGAAGTCACCATCGACATGGGCTTATTAGGAAACTTTTACAATTCACATTAATTCTTGGAAGTCACCAGCAACATCCGCACGCTGACACGGTTTAGCCATGACACGATTTTAATCTGCTCACTTCACAACAGGGCCTGATCGAGTCACCCATAACTGCTTAATTGCAGTTTAACTAGGTCTGAGGCGCAGCAGCTCCTTTTGGTATCACTGGGGTCTTTATGGCCGGCTACAAATGCCCCATAACAGGTGATAGGAAGGGAAGACGCTCCAACCTTCACACAAGGGAATATTTATTTGCAAGAAACAAGAGTTCTCATATTGTGATTTACTTTTTTTCCCCCCATGGTGCTGGAGGTGGAACCCTAGCCTTGGGGTATGCCAGGCAACTGTTCTATCGCTGCTACTCTCTCAGGCCGAGTCATAACCCTCAATAATAAAGGTGGAGGGATGAAGTGTTCATTCTAGAAACTTCATTCTCTTCATGTGTGCATTGTGAGGAAATAATTAAAGTATGTGTCAAGAGAAAATTAGGTCCCAATATTGGTGTCACTGACCAGCCTGTTTATAAAACTGAAAAAGCACAAAATATTTCCAGTACTTTCTACTTGTGTGTGGATCAAGAGCACTAGATTTAGGAAGAAAGTGCATGTATACATGCTTGGTTTGGAGGGAGAAACTTCTTGGATCCTGAGGACTTGTGACTTGTGGGACCCTAAAAGTTCCATTGTGTTTCCTTTGGACTCCTCCTGCTAAAACCTAAAAAGGCAACTAAATAAATGCAAGGGATGGACTTAAGTCTTAATCTTTTTTTCTGATTTATGATTGTGAAGACTTCAGTTTGCTCTGTAATTATCATTAAAATTCAGCGAAATTCAATTCTAAAGGACTAAATTGTTTGATTTCAGACTAAGTAAATTCCTTTTTTTGGAGACTGACCACTCAGACTGATTAATTCGAGTAGTTAAAAATGTTTCAAAATGCCCTCACCATCCCACTCTTTTATATGGTACAAGTAGATTAAAACCATCAACTAGAAACCCAGAGAAATGTATCCCTCCTGATTCTGAGAAGCAGATTCCTTTGGTGGTCTGGTTGCTATGGTGACACTGGTGTCTCTGAAATCCAGACAGCACCATCATAAAATTTCAGAGATTCTTGGATTGCTTTGCTTTGCAACAAGGCCACATTTCTCTAGCGTCTCAGGTACCACCTAGGGACAGACAGGTGTCTGGGCGGGGTCCCTCATCATTTGGGCAGTGGTCCTGTATCTCTCTGTCGTGCTGGATTTGAGTTTACTTCATCACAGTACTGTTTTGGGACTTATTTTGTTAAATCAAAGATCCTCACGGAATCTTTGACGGATGGCAAATTTTGCCTTTATTGTTACTTTCTTCCTTATTCCCAGCCTCACCTCTGATCCCACCGGTTCCCCTAGTAAACAACTGTTCCTTAGCTAGAGATCATTTAACTGTCTGCTCATCCATCACCCTGGTTTTAAAAAGGCTCCATGGCCTTGTGAGTCATCCGGTCTCATCCCATAATGGGAAATGTTTCCTCGGACCTTAATCTTGGGGTACTGTGACACTGAGTGTTTTAACTTCCCAACAGCTGGATCTCAGCCCCAGGCTGATGACCCCAGGGGCTCCTAACCTGCTGTCTGGGGCCACTGCTCTCTACTCAATCTGCTGCTCCTCCTTATGAGCCCTGTATTGAGAAGCCAATAAAACCCATAGGTCAAGTGTCTGTCAGGGCAGGAAGTCCTCCCCAGAAGCCAAGAACAAAGACATTTTCTCCAGCTCATCCTCAGGCCTGACAAATTACTGTGAACGGAAGTGGAAGTGGCACGGTGAGCACTGGTTCTAGAAATGATCCAACTTTTTTCTTGTTTCAATGATTTCTCCACTTTCCAAAAGGCTAAAACATGCAGTCAACTTTGCAGTGGTTTTCCATAGCGGTGAACTTCCATGGTTCAAAGAAAGGTAAAAACAGAATACTTTGTCCCTGAACATCTAACAAAGGACAATGCAAACATCATCCAAGTGTTGGAATCATTATGCCCAGACCTATCCTTAAGAATGTCAGGTTTTAATTTCAGCTCAGCAATCAATGCAAGACATGAGACATTGACTAGCTCTGCCTCCTCCTTCCCTGTGAGAAACGCTACAAAATTCAGATTAACAAAACGTGAAAAGCGCTCTGTGCCTAGCAAGTTCTAACATTAATGGCTCTTCCGCACAGGTTTTATGTGTGGCAAAAATGAGCTGTAGTTTGTCTTCTAATGTGTGTTGTTAGCGATTACTTTCATTTGGTTACTGGCTAACCAGAATGACCTGGAGATACCACGGTCTAGACAAAAGGATGAGGCAGAGAGATCCCAGCAGAGCCACTGTTTTCAAGTATCTGCACTTCCGAGCCCAGGGACAACACAGCCTCAAGGACAGTATCTGATTTTCACCAATTAATGTCATGAAACTAGAACTTTCTACTTTGAGATACTTAAGTGGTATTTTCTGTAATCCGTATGGTCATCCGATACCATACATGCCCTCCCTATTTTTGAGATACCCTGGTTCAGAGATTCACACTCCTGTTAAAAAAAAAGGACAGCAGATAGGGCTGGAGAGATGGCTCAGCGGTTAAGAGCACTGACTGCTCTTGCAGAGGACCCGGGTTCGATTTCCAGCACCCACATGGAGGCCCCGAACCATCCTTAACTCCAGTTTCAGGGGAATCCGATGCCCTCTTCTGACCTCCGCGGAATTGCACAACACGGGGTGCACTCATACGTGCAGGCAATGCACTCACACACATAAAATAAAAACAATAAATAAAAATACATATAAAAGAAAAAGCACGGCAGAAACCAAAACCAGCAGCAAGAGTGAACTATGTTAATTTATTGGCATCATCGATTTATGAACAAGACATCTTTTCTTCATGAAGCGAGGCTGACTGTGAGCCACAGCAGGTGTCCACATCTTCACTGTCAGGACGCAGGACTGCAAGCTTCAGTCAGGGTCTAAGAAGAAAAAGAGAGAGCACAAAAGCTGCTAGATGTGTTTTTTTAACACCCAATGTGAACAAGGAACCTGTTCACAGCAACCTGTAATGTAACTGTGCTGACAACTCCTGGGGCAGGCTGAGCCTTGGCTGCACTTTAGTTTAAGGCATTGGCCCGATGGGCATGTCCCTGAGTAAATCACTCTGAGCACAACACAAACTATTTTGCCTTCAAAAGACACTAAGACCCCCACGTGCTATGCGCTGGGTCTTCACCGGGGCAGGGCATAAAGAGGTGGGGCAACACTTGTTTGCAGGAGTTAGTTGCAGCTGGTGCAGTGCAGCTGCTGGCAGGCTGAGAGATACTCCACTCAGCTTGGTGTGGAAATCCAACCGCCCAGCATAAAAACCAAGCCTCACTACTCAGAATTAGGAGATTAGACAGAGAGCCCCCAGGAAAGGGCTCAATTCAAAACATTTATTTCAGGCTGGTAATAAAAGATTTACTAATTCAAAATGAAAATGAGAGTGCTTAGGGGAGCCAGTTTCAGTAAGTGACACTGCTCACGGACACCCCAGCCAAAGGCTGAGCATTGGCCTTAGTGCCACACTAAAAGAAATGAATCTCTGATAACATGCCTCGCTTATCGTTTAAGTAACAATGTCAACAAAGCTGCTCAGAAATCAGATCACTCCTGTAGTCTGGAGCAAAAAAGTCTGTTCAGAACAGACTTTTATTGCCTGGGAGTCTAACTTTACACCAACATCTTTGCAGAAATGAACCAACGACTCTGAGAGCAGAAACATAGCAGAGAGGAGTCACTGCCGTGTCTTAATAAGATAGTCAGACCCTGGCCTGGACCGGTGCCCTTCTGTTCAGAACAACTGATTTTTTGAGGACACTGGCAGATGTGGGGACAGAAATGCAGACTACTGTCATTTTTCATGCTCCCAAACTGTTATGTAACTCCAATAGCAATTCCAAAGGGTGGGGGGGGGATCCTCCCAATTATTTGATTTTGTGCAGACAAATGAAACAGGTTTAATTAAAATAAGATGGCTCTCTACCTCGGCATCACAAAATGCACCAAAAATCAATGTGCCAATTATTCTGCTTGTCAGGACCCAAAAGGGCATTCTTTTATCATGCCACTAGATGTCCAGACCCCATGCTCTAAATGATTACTTCAGACACTAAACTAATTCAAAATGCACTGATCGAATGAAAAATGGACAGGATCCCCAACAAAAAGCAGTCTGGGTTTCGATGGCACCCTGAACACCTCAGAGGCAATTCTAAACAGACCAGCAGCTTACCAATCACTCCTTCTTCACCCTCACAATTTTTATGCTGCTGCCGGAAGACTTCTCTGCGTTTGCCTTGAATTCTGTCTTCAGGGCATCCCTCACTGCCTTTGCGCAGATCTGGGAGAACCGGATGTAGCTGGGAAAGAGACCAAAGATACAAGATTATCACCCACGAGACAGCCATGTTATCATACATGGCATCTTGGTTTTCTAATTTTGGCTTCCTCATACCTTATTGTCTGAACTGGATTTAGAAGTGGGTTGTACCAAAAAGAATCTACAGAAGACAATTAGAGAAATGTGCCCCCAAATTAGCTGGTGCTTGGATCGGCGCTCATAATTTTTCTTCTTGGCACAATGTACTTTCAGAGCATATTAATTTAAAAAAGAATGCATGAATATATAAATATATACGTATTTTTTAAAAAAATCACACTGCGTAGGAAGCACGTGGAAATTCGAAAGAACGCTAAGAGATCGATTCCCTGGCTCATTTCTGTATTTAAATTGTTTCCTTTAATTATGTCATTCCTACAAGGTCTATACAATTAGGAAGAAAAAGTTGAATTAAAAGTTCTCTTTATGATAAAACTCTCTAAGGCTTTTCTGGGAATACTGGATTTTCTCAAGTCCGCCTCCTGATCGAGTCTCTAAATTAACCTCAGAGTCCTCAGAGACCACCACCACCAATCCCGACAACATGGTACCAGGGTGCTTCCTGTTCAGGACATGGACTTTTCTCCAAAGCCATCTGATCACTTTTCAAACTTTTTGAAAACAGGAAGGTGGTGGTGGTAGAAACTGGGGTTTTGGAAGTTAGGGGGAAAGGAGTTTTTAACTCCTTGGGACTGTTTAACCTCTTCAGTTTATACACCTGGAAAGACACAAAGAACAAAGGATAATGACAGCTGGGCTGCAAAGGGCCGGCCGAGGGTGTGGACATGCTGGGATGCCGAGGAAGAGGGCTGCTAAATGGTGTCTAGCTGGGACCACCCTCGAGTCCACAAAACTTGGCTTGACCCCAGTCCGTGCACGTGGGCCGTCTGCCAACACCCCTCGGTCACGTGGGCAGCCTGACCCCGGTGGGCGCACCTGGGCATTCTGACCCCCTCCCTCGGTCACGCGGGCTCCTGGCCGCAGGGCCTGCAGAACGCACCCGGGGCAAAGCAGCACCCTGCCCACCTCTGCGGGTGTTCCAGGTCTGCACCCCCCTCCCCCACCCGCCCAGCACTGCAGTTTGGGGCTTCCGCCTGGAGTTAACATGGACGCACTGGCGGCCCCCGCGTCCGGGACCCCGCGCCTTGTGCGGGCGACGCCATGTTGGCGGCGGGGCTGCGGGCCACGACCTACCTGAGTCCGGCCTGCCGCCAGTAAGTCACCATGGTGTCCGCGGTCGCCGAGTCCTCAGTCGGCTGGGGCAGGAAGGTCAGGCCGGAGCGGAAGGGGCGGGGCGAGGACCTGTCCGCCAGTGCCCGCCCCGTCCCCCGCGCCCGCCCATTGGCTGCGCCGCGCGGCTTCCGTAGCGCGGGGAGACTTGGGAAGGCCGCGCTAAGCCCCGCCCCCCGACAGGGCTGCACACCAGGGTTCCTCACTAGCCTGAGGACCTCAGGGCCACGGGCTCCAGGGCCTTGTCAGACAAGCATAATTTCAGTTTTACGAGTCACTTTTGGTCCAGTATTAATATTTCGCAAAGTTCTCTTTAGCGGAAATGTTATTTGTAAAAATTATCTCCCAATACAAAAGAGAAATCAGAAACCCTATTAGATTTAACCTGTTCTTATAAATGTCCAAGCAATATTTTAAAGTGGGAAACCACGAATTTTAAAAGTTTAGTATACTGTGTTTTTCTGTATATACCGTAACTGGTCTGTTTATAGGAAAACCAACTAGAAGCTCATCACAATAAAAGGCAAGAGCTAATTACCTACAACCAAAATATTCTGTATGCAAGAAAGGATCGTCATACACCATTTAGTGGGTGACAATCTCTGCTACAAACCAGCAAGGACCTATCTGCTGGCTGTCCTTCACTTCGCGGGTATCCCCTGGCACCTAAAAGGAAGATTTCCACCATTACCGCGTGTCCTGCGGTCTACCCGTGGTTCATTTAAGCCACTGCATGCCCCTGCCTCAGCACTGCATTAAAAATTCTAAGTATCCGGGATTTAGCTGCAAGACATTTGACTCATCTCAGAGGAACTGCAGCTCTTCCCGAGAGACGACTGATGGTCAGAATTACCTCAAAAAGTAACTATATTCGAACAACCTGACACATCGTGCCTTAGCAATCACAAAACCCTGAATTTTGACACATAGCAATTTGTAAGTTAGCAAATGTGAATGCTAAATGACATGTCTTCAGAGAGCATAACTCTGGTGTGAGCATCGTTCTGTTTAAGTGAGCTGCAGAGCTCAGGTGATGACTTTATTTTTCCAGGTAACAGAACCTGCCACGGTACGCACAGTAAATCACAAAGTGCAAACCCAAGGAAGGAAATGCCTTTACTAAGTTACAAAAACTTTGGCAAATCAATACAGTACTCTTTAATACAATAAAATAACATTTTTGTTGGAGACATATATTATCTTAGTGCTAATCCTCACTCCAAAAATAACATCGAAGTACCAAATCAAAACACTGGTTTTCAGCAGAGCAAGTTACACAAACTAATGTTACTTGAAATTACAGTTTCTCCTTTAGAGTGAGCTCCCCGCACACATGCTGGTCTGGCTTACGGCAGCAAAGCAACTTTGTGGACATAAGGGCGGCTCTTTGTTCTGGGGTTGGTCCTCAGCCAGGTAGAGTTCCAAAATGTCAGAAAAGCTTAAAGATTCTACCTTAAGGAATCTCAGTATCAATTTCTTCCAAGTATTTAAAAAACCCATTAACTGTTCACAGAGACAGACTCAGTCGCGTTAGCCACCTAACCTTGGGTGACCCTGACTTAACAGCCCTCTACCTTTCATCAACAGTCTCATACCATTACTCCAGCTTATTAAAAAAAATACCTAAAATAGCTGTATTTTTAAATAACAAATAAATACACTGCCAGTCTGGAGAGCCCCGGGACCTGCTGCCGTGGACCAGCCATCGTCACTTCTCCACTAATGCTGCCGCCGCCATTGGTGTCCTGATGCTTCCTCTGGCTGACGCCGTCAATTCTTCAATCTCAGCATTTAGTTTATGGATCACCCATTCCATTGCTTCTCGGCCCTGCGGGAAAGTGCAAAGCCTTTATCCTTAGGACTGAGAGCAAAGGCATCTATCATATGGCAACTGGGTGACGGGCATGTGGCCAGTGTAACTAAGCCTTGGGGACAGACCCCCTTGCCCTTGCTGCTGCTTCTCTGGTATTATTTACCAAATATCAAATGCCTTGAGCAACTGGCTTGATCCATAAACTGATTTTTATTTTGTATGCAAAAGATGTTCTCAGAAGAATCAACAGTTAAGTGACAGGATGTCTCGTTTTTGCAGCATGATTAGAACAGTCAACACTGTAAATCAAACCATGTACAGCCCCTAGGACCTGGTCCTTGACCTCCTCCTCCCCATCACCTTCCTTCCCGGCACCCTACAGTTTCTTCAGGAATGGAGTGAGGAGCACTTCAGGCTTCCTGTTGAGGGCCTCTGAATGTGCGGCTCCCCTGCCCAGAATGTTCTTCCTGGACATGGCTCACGCCAAGCCCTCCCCTCGCATCATTTGGCAAAAATATCATTTAGGACACTCTAAGACTCATATTGGCCTTTACCTTCTCTAAAGGCTGTTGTGTGACTTATGCCCCTTCCTGAGTTCCACACATTTTGCTCCCGGCGGAACCTCAAGTCCAGCTTTGAGCCCTGTCTGGCACAGAGGTGCCCACCTACAGGTAACCACAGCTGAATGGCGTCACTAACCATATGTCTAAAGAAACGATGCTTTTGACATCTTTCCCCTAAAGTTCCTGTTTTGACTCACATACTCTCGATGTGGCTGATTCTCAATGGGATAAAACATTTAGGAGAGCCTGGAAAAATTTCACTCTTTTATGTCCAGAACACACACATGGTACATGTGGTATGAAGCAACTGCATAGGGCTGACGATTAGATGAAAAGTGTCTAAAGCTGATGGGAATGATCAGGCATGCTAAGGAGCAGAGCTCGGAAGCAGGACAGTGCTGCTCATCAGAGCTCTTCTCTACACTGGGCTCCGGGCTGCAGGTCTTTCATGTGCTGCCTTGCCCCATGGACGGGAAGCTGACCCCACGAAGGCTGCTAGTCGTGTTTGTGGGTGAACCCAGTGTGCTGGACTCCAGAGCCCATGTAAGTAACTGTCTAAAGCTGTGCCTGTCCCCGCAGAGTGGCCCACTCAGCTTACAAGGACAGTCACATACAGCAAAAGCCTTTCCAGGAAGTGAACCTGGGGGCAGGGAGCAGTCAGGAGGCAGCCTACTTACTTTGTTAGCATTTGAAGATATGGTGGTGGCCATGAGTCCTTCGAGGTAGCTGCTGAGACTGACCCCTTTTACAGTGATGATGGCTTCCTGAGTCAGAACAGTTCTGGAAAAACAACACACGGCTTCAGATGACCCAACTTCCACATGTAAAACAATTTGATCAAAAAATTAAAATTCCTTATCAAGTCAGCATGCCATGGTACTCACTTTTCTGGGTCCTGAGGGTGTGGTTTGTACGTAAGTCTCTCGTCTACTGAAACCATATTTGTAAATGAGATCTATGGAGTGGGGAGAAAGTCAAATCATTTTGGGAACAAAGATTAAAAAACTGACCCAGCAAACTGTTGCAATAGTGGCACTTTTATCTTGGGGGTAATCAATAGCTGTCCAATTGGAATTAAGGCCTACTCAATGGGAGGGAACTCATGTGCAGTACTGTAAACATAGCCAAATACATGTGGCTGCTTTTGCCACATCCCTAGACTAATGTAATTCCTTACCTTATTCTAAACATGCAACCTCATATTATAGATAAGAGTACCTTTCACCCCATCAAAGAAGCTTCTTTTCGCAAATGGAGACTATTAGAGTTCCAGAATTGTTAAATGCAGAGGATAATTATCTGTGAGATGCCTAACCAACAGTGACACATCTTCAATGCATCCTCTACACTTAGGACGAATGCATCTCTCAACTCTACCAGAGAAGTTCCCTTCCTTATGCAGCAGATGGTGATTAACACAGAAACCCACAACTGACCAATGTGCAGAGAACAAGAGGCTGCAGAGTGCTCATCCCTGAACAGGACACCTACTCGAAACCTCTGTCTCCCAAGGCTCAGGGATCATTGCGGAAGAAGAGGCAGAGAGATTGTAAGAGTCAGAGGGAGTGGATGACCCACACTGAAAAATATTTTGGGACACATAACAGACTTTACATAGGCCGTATTCTATATGAAAGTTCATTAAATTGGGCTCAGGGAGGGCAGTAGAGGCAGGTGTGGAGAGGGAGCAGATCTGAATGCCATTAAACTATATTGTATGAAAAATGCAAAACTTGAGTAAAATAAATAAAAAACATTTCCAAAATTAACACACAAACCCCAAACCTTGTTAGCTAAACACACAAAACCAAAAACCCACAAATATTTATCATTTAATTTTTCTTTCTTAAAAAACAAAAACGAAAAAACAAAACAAAACCAAACCATTTCTTTTTATACAAAGAAACTAAGTTTGGGCCAGGGCAATGCTCAGCAGGTAAAGTGCTTCCAATTTAAGAAAACTGTTCTAATAATGTGCATGGACCCTGAACTCACTGTACGGAGTGCTGGCCTCAGAAAGAAGGGCCAGCCTGCAGAGGCTGGTCAGGGCAGACCTGCACTGTGTGTTCACTATCTTCTCCTTATTTGCTGTGTCCTAGTGTGGCACTAGGGGATTGGAGTCAACATGTACTCGCTAGGTGAGCACTCTCCCATCAAGCGCTTTCCCTACCCTTCTTTTGTGCTTTTCATTTTGGGAGTCTCCCTAAGTTGCCCTGGCTAGCCTTGAACTCACTCTGTAGCCCAGGCTGACCTTGAATTTGTGTTCCTCCTGCCTCATTCTCCAGAGCATCTGAGAAGAAATACAGTCGAACAGTTAAAAGTGACAACAAAGGACGGAGGACTCACATTCGTGGATTTGAGCTCCATTGTCTTCCTTGCGGGGTCAACCACTGAATGCTCCTGCACATAAGTCTTGGTTCTTGCTGCGCCGATGAGCTAAGGAGACAGTGGAATTAGTGGTCAGGAGCAAGGCTTTCTGACCCAGGGAGTCAGCACTTCACTTGAAGTCACAACTATGTTACGTTCGTGTTGAACCAAAATTCCGTTTTGGAGAAAACAGAAGGAAACACACACAGGTCAGAAGAAGTCCTATTGCAGGTAACAGGAAGTCATGCAGGGATGGAGACAAGACTGCCATATGCCCTGACACAGCACCCAGCTCACTGACAGGGTGAGGGTACAGGTGCCAATGAGGGTGGAGCAGGAAAAGGGCAATCTGGAACCGAGAGGACCCCAGGATGCACTGTATGGAGCAGAGCTGAGGCATATGGGCAGTGTCTCCAAGCAGCCCAAGGGAAAAGGGCCACTCCCAGCTCCATTCTCCAGATACAAAAGCAGGCCTCACAGTGGAAAGTCATATGCCACAACCAGCGCCACTCCCTAGGTCCGAGCCCCCAGCCCATCCCTCATCTTGTTCATTGCTGTACCCTATTAGCTGATGCTGCCCTTGTGAACCTGTAGAACTTTCTCCAAAGAGATCTATCTGCCTCCCAAACCTGGATACAAGCACCTCACCCATTTTCTGCCATCACGATAACCTGGCATTCCAGTTTCTCTTGGTTCTGTCAGCTCACTAAGGCTTGATGGTCGTAACAGAAATGCAGCTATTTCTAATGTTCAGGAAAGAGTACTGGCCCAGAGGTTAACCATGACAGTAACCCCTACAGTGTTCTTGCTTTATGTGCACGGCCTACCAGTGAACGCAGCAACTGTCCCGTTAAGAGCTATGACTAGACTGAGACGTCTGAATTTACTGTGGGTCAAGATGACAGCAGTGGCAGGCAAAGAATGCAGCTCCCCTCAGCTTCCCAGGTGCCTCCGGGAAGGCTGTTAACAGTATTTCCAGTTCACCAGACACTCCCAATTCCAACTGTCTATAATATCATTTGAAGTGATGCAAAAATGACGTTTGGAATGGCAACATGGCGCAAGCCATGTGGAAGCACGGCACTTACAGACTTCACAATGGAAGGCAGTCCCCACTCTGTGCTGAGGAGTCTGTGGCTGTGCAGCTTCCCAGAGGGATCAATATGTCTGTCCAGCACATCGACGCCAACCACACTTGGGTTCATAGGGTTTGGGTATTTCTGCATCGCAGCTGTCGTGACTGTTTCCCATGGGTGGCTGTTGACAAACCAAATACCAAACACTTGAAAAATGCACGTATGGGTTAAGCCACTTTTTTGCTGCTGTTGAGAAAAGGTCTCACTAAGTATCTCCAGCTGGTCTGAAACTCGTGCTCTGGCTCAGGCTGGCCTCTAACTCCTGCTTGACCCTGCTTCCCGAGTGCTGGGTTAAAGGTGTCCTCACCACACCTGGCTCCAGTTAAGCCAGTTTTATGACAAACCAAACCATTCTGTATGATGGCAGTTAGCTGATGTGGGGAAAATCACTTCCTGAAACACTCAGTGAATGATTCTGAGAGCTCAAGCTACTTTTCACAAATGTGAACAGACTTCAGTAGTTCCAACACAGGTGACGTCACACAATGGATGTCCAGGGAGAGCAGCCCACCTACAGATGTGTGGCAGTCACCAGAGGACAGGATCTTAAGCAACCTTTCTACCTGCGACACCTACTTTCATACATAGGGAGAACTACTGATTCGTAAAAACATGTTCACAGAAACAAGTAGAAAAATGCATTATACCTTTCATCTGACTACTCATAAGGGTAAAAGAACTCATAGGCACTGTGATCTTAAGAATTATAAAGTGATCTTTCACGTTGTTGATTTAATGGTTAAGAATTCCCCATATGAAAATGGTAGAGCAGGACTCCTCCAGTCTCTATCCACCGTTTTCCTCAAAGAAGTGAATAGGGATTTTGCTGTGAAAAGGTCACTCAATATAACAAAATGTGAAGACACTCCTATGTGCCATTTCCTAATAACCTCTTAATACAAGCATGTGCTCATCACCAAGGACTCCAGTGACAACACTGAGCACGTGCAGCACCTTTAATCTCTCAAAAAGGCCAAGTACTTGAGTGGTTCAAAGCGATATGCACGTGTCTTGCCCTCTGCGAACAAGACACGCAGACAGAAGGCACCGTTCACAAGAAGCCCTTATGAACTAGTCAGGACCAAAGCTGGCTGGCTCACCTGCAGTCTAATCCCACCTGTTTTATGTTATCTCTGCTCTCACTTTCTGGAGACAAGGTTTCAAGCCCTGCCCACTGGCACAGACCACACAGTGTTACTTGTTGATCTAAAAGCAAAGCAATAATCCAACTTTCTGGAGAACTCAGACTGACAACTACATCTTGTCAACAGAAGAAAAGCCTCAACTCCATTAATTCCCAGAACTGTGGCCAACCAATGACATGACTTCTAATGGCTCCATTCAATGTGTGCTGCTGTAAAACGAGCCTCTTTCTCGTTTTAATCTCAAGTCTTGTTCTGGAGTCAGCACAGGTATGTTGCAGCTTCATAAATCTAAACAGTCACCACAAAGGGAAGTGATACAAGCCAAGCACCCTGTTACCAAGGCAGCTATCTAAAATGAAAATCAGATGAACCCCTCCCAGTCCATCCAGCCATGAAGCATGGTGAGCTGGCTTCCATGTGCTTATCTCATCCCCAACTCTCTGAAAAATTAATAACCGTGTGGCCTTGGGCAGTTACGCATTACTGCGATTTAGCCCATCTCTGTTCTCCACGCCAGCTTGAGAAAGTCTCTGTTGACTTAGCTCAGACTGAGACCGTGTTATGGAACACCTGCCCCAAACCTTACAAGGGGCACACACAATGATTATCAATGTTCCAGCAATTAATTTGAACTGTATTAACATAATTATGTGAAGAAGATCCAATACTGGGCGGTGTTCACAAACACCACAGTGGAGAGCCTGGTTTTGGCTGACTCACCTGTCCAGTGTCCTGTAAATGGGAACACTGTTAACCCAGCAAGCACCAGCGTCTCAGATGTAAACCAGTAAAATGTAACCAGTCCAAAGAGCAGTGCTTAGATCTTACAGTACAGATGTTGAAAGACTCTCCCAGCGACTCCACAACAAACACTAACCATGTGATGGAAGATGGGTCAGTGGGATGTAGGACTTAGGATCCTGCTACAGACGGACAGCAACATCCTTAAGAGGGGAACCATGGAGACAGCAGCATTTGCTAAAGATGAAGATTTCAGTCCAGGGAGGCTGAATTGGAAGACGCTGTGCACTTGTGGGAATCTCCCCGAATGTCTGGGAGGTCCCTGAATAAGAATTTGCCAATCCAAAGACTGGAGTTCAACCACCTGGCTTTGCTGCTGTTTTTCTAATGTATTTTTATGTGTATGGATGTACTGCCTGCATGTATGTAAGTGCACCTGTGTCATGCACTGCATGTGGAGGTCAGAAGAGGGTGTCGGATCCTCTGGAACCAGAGCTACAGATAGGTTGTTAGCCACCATGTGGGTGCTGGGAATTGAACCCGGGTCCTCTGCAAGAGCAGCCAGTGTGCTTAACTGCTGAGCCATCTCTCCAGCGCCTGTTTTGTTTTTGTGAGACAGGGCCTTGCTCTGCAGTACTGGCTTGCCCAATGCCATGTAGCCTAGGATGGCCCAAAAGTCACAGCAATTCTCCTGCCTCAGCTTCCCGAGGTTACAGGCATGCACTACCACAACCTGGATTAATGTTTAGATCTGGGTATCACATATGTGTGACCTGTGACCTTGGCTGAGTGGCTTAGACATTTGGACAGAAAGCAGAAGTAGGGCTTTCTGGGACATGGACAGCATTCACATGTAGTCTGTCTTCTAGGAGACAGCTCAGAGTTTTCATGGACCTCTGAGGTCTGTGACCAAAGAAAAAAAGTAAGATTAAGATGAAATGCAAGCCAGGAAGGCTAATCACCAACCTGATGACCACTGACACTGGGTTAAAAGGGAGGGATGTGCTGAAGGGCAGAGTGGAAGGGCAGAGGGTGGGGGAGAGGGAAAGGGAGGGAAAGGAGGGAGGGAGAGGGAAGGGGAGAGAGAGGAAGGAAGGAAGAGGAAGGGCTGAGGGAAGAGTGCTAGGGACTGTGAGGGAGAACGGAGTTCAAGGGCCAAGCACTCCTAAGCATTCATACCCAGAAGTGGACAGAGGACAAGTGTCCCTGGGGCTGAAATTGACCAGGGAAGGATGTGCCCAGGTTAAAGAACAGCAGAAAGGCTCCAGCCTTGGGGTCCTAGAAGCATTACAAATGCTGAGGAAGAAATGTCCATTTTAGTTCTAATGGCCTGCTCTTTATGGGCTGTAACAGGCCCTCAGGTGGAGCCACTATGGAAAAGCATTGACCAATTTTAAAACTGCCCTCAGTGATACTTAGAGCTGGTTGCCCAAACTAAAACACACTATAAAGCTACACTGTGAACACAGTGAGACAACAGAGGTGAAGCCAGTGGAAGGACAGACTGTGGAAGTGGGCTGAGCTGGAAGTCAACAGTGTCTATGACATGGTGGCATTTCCCATCAGAGAGGACAACAGGTCAGTCAATAAGGAGTGCTGGAAGCACAACCTGCGTTCCTGGTTCCTGTGTATGGATCCAGATCATGTAATTCCCTACACCCCACCGACCTGTCAAGGCCTCCTTTTACTCAGAAACCACAAAGGCTGGCTGGAGACTGCAGAGACCTCACACCAGGAGGCCTTGGTGATCAGATCTCTGGTTCTGCTCCTCAGGCTGGCTTGTCACCACGGTTTTGGCGTTAAGGTGGTGAGTTCACTCGGAAGAAACTCCACCTGGGTAGACAGGATGTGGCCACCCACGGAGTACTGGGTCTGTCCAGTCTGTGAGGACACACCTGTGGGCTGATGGGGCTCAGTGGTGACACACCAGGCCATCCTGGGTTCTGGTGGGCATACCTGAGGCCTGTTGGGTTTTGTAGGAACACACCATGCCACCCTGGGGGGTGTCGGGGTTCTGAGGACACACCAGGTCAACCCAAGGCCCATTGGGGTTCTGGGAGGAGTCAGATCTATGACTATTGGGGCCCTGAAGGGCACACCTTGGTTCTGTATGGACACACAAGGCCATCCTGGGGGCCACTGGGGTTCTGGGGAACACACTGGAGGGTAGTCAGGGTCCTGGGGGCACACCTGTGGCTGTCGGGGTTCTGCGGGCACACCTGAGGGCTGTCGGGGTACAACCTGTGGCTGTCGGGGTTCTGAGGGGCACATCTGAGGATGTCAAGCGTTCAGGGACACACCTGTGGCTGTCGGGGTTCTGGGGGCACACCTGTGGCTGTCACGGTTCTGGGGGCACACCTGTGGTTGTCGGGGTTCTAGAAGACACACCTGGCCACCCTGTGGCCGTTGGGGCCTCGTGCTCCGCTACGCCCCTCGACCCCTGGAGTCGCTTCCGGGTCAGGCCCGACGGCAGGGCTTCGTCTTCCTCCGGCGGCGGGGCTCTGGCTCGGAGTCACTCAGGCCTCGGCTGGGTCAGGGGTCGTGACCTTGGCGGGCCCCCGGTCCCCTCGCCCCGCCGCCCGGAAGGCCCCCGAGGCCCCGCTGCCCGCGGCCCCCGCGCCCACACTCACTCGAAGACGTGCTCCGAAGTCCAGATCTTCATGGTGCCGCCCGCCGTCCGCGCGTCCCCGGCCGAAGAGGCGCAAAAGTTCCCCTGCCCCGCCCCGTCCCGGCCGGCCGGCCTCGCAGCGCGCAGGCGCCGTCGGGTCCCGCGCGAGGACTTCCGGAAGTGCGGCCCTGCGCCCGTCCCAGC